TTCATGTTCATCTTGGAGGTGGTGTAGACTAGTTTTAATGTGGGGGGGAGGGGGGGAGAATCTCATTACAGGAATTCATGGATATAAAAATCATCAATCACTATTTAAGAACAGTAGGAAAGGGGACACAATTTAGCTCAACTTTTTTTTTTCTCTTGGATTTTAAAGAGAAATCAAAACCCAACCAATTGCGGCTCATACAGGATACATCACCACTGCATAGTGGAAGATCCTAGCTAGGTTAAGCAAATTTTGTAGATATTACTAGGAAACCATTAGGTAAAAGTTCATGTTCAGTTATTTTTGTAATCAATTTGTCACTCAACTCACTGACATGGTTACAAATCACCAGCAGCTTTTTCACAACACAATCATGCTTTATCTGAACCTATGTATTGATGCCTATCATGGTGCCTGTCTTTGTATGTTCTGGAAGAATCCAGGCAGCTTATCCTGTATTTCCTCAGTGGGAGTTAGAGCTTCTGTAGCGCATGCATATGGTAACGTGGGACAGTGTTCTCTCACCTGTAGGATGTTGCAGAGATCTGAAGGGAAAATGATTGACCAAATGAGCTGCAGTTACAGCTATAGGCATCCACCTACACAGTGCAGAAGTATTAGATCAGCTTAGGCCTCTGACAATTACAAATACCATTGTGTAGCCAGACACAAACCCCATCTTGTTTTTCCACGAACCCCATCTTGTCGTCCCCCCCAGAGAGCAAGAGAAAGGCAGTCAGCCTTTGATGCCCTGGGAACGCAGCTGTGCTGCCTGTCCCTGACTCTACCATAAACAGAAACCAGACAGTAAATGGGCTAGCTGACGACCCGGGGCCTCTCATTGCCCTAATGGCTAGTACCAGTAATTGACATGCCTGCACTGTCCCAGGAGAGGAATCTTTGCCCATCACATACCAGAGGTGCCCATTGTCTGCATTTTCCCAGGTGTAAATTATGCTTTGCACCCTTCGTGGGAAACTTGGCATTCAAAGCCATTTTTCCTAATTGGCCACTTGAGACCAGGAAGAAGCCTACGTGACCCAAGGGGTATAAAGAGGGGTTTAGTAGCCCACCCCCTTTGAGCTCCAAACACCTACACCTGCAGGTATTGATTGTCTCCCGAGGTCTGTGGGACGCCCAACCTCGCCCTACTTCTTCCCGAGGGATTGAGAGAAAGACGCTGGCCACGCCAAGTCTGGAACGCAGGGGTGAGAATATATACCTGCTAGGTGTCTATTTTGCATGCATTTAATAAGAGCTCAGAGAACCAAAGGGTTTCATGGTACCTGTAAGTGACTTATTAGTGTAATTTCTGTCCTGTCCTTTGTAGTGTCTGTGTTATCTGTAACACAGCAGTAGCATTTAACAACTAAGTTTACCCTGTAACAATAAAATAGTAACTGTTTAAGCTTTAACCTGACTCCTTCAGTTGCTGTAACAGAACCAAGCACAATTTAAAAGAACTTCAGCCGGTAATAAGGGACTCACTGCCCTGACCGTCGGCTGACAGATTGTTAACCAAATATTAAGATTACGTATAGAGGTAAACAATCTCTTAAAAACTGTTATGCTACTAACTAGTTGCACATTTGGTTCAAAGTTGAAAGGACTGAATAAGCCCTCCATGTTTCACACAGAAAGCACTCGGACTAAAATCTTAACATATGATGATGTAGCTCAAGTACAAAAATGTTATAGGAAATCAGCAGCTTAATTGACAGTCATGACAACTCGAATAGCTTGAACATCAGAATTGATATTTTCAAATACAACACAATGCTTTCAGCCAACTGCACTGAGTCTGATGCCTCAGCTTTTTCAAAGATAGTTGGGCTAACTTTCATTGTAGATACTCCTAGTTCCATGTGTATATATAAACAGTCTTAAATAGGGTGGTTACAATAGGGTAGGGTTAATAGGTAGCTGATGCACAGGTGTGGCCTGAGGTTACTTAATAGCTGTGAGGAACACGGCTCAATTTTAACTTTTTTTTTTTTAAGTGCTACAAAGAAAAATAGTTCCTACTAGGATATAATAGGGAATTTATATAAAAGATAAAATGTATTTAAAAAAACCCTCCTATGTATTTTGACTAGACTTTAAAGATTTCATAGCTTTGCTGCATGTCCCTCAGCACAGCAGCAGCGCATTGTGTCCAGTCACTTTCAGTTTACTTTCTATTGTTGGCACAAACAGCTGCAGCAGGCACTGAGACAGGGATGATGTCAGAGTGCATCTAGTTTTAATCTGAATATTCTTTCCCCTCTTACAACTGTTCCCTCTTCTCACTGTAGCCCACTTTCCCCTACCTTTTGTCTCATCCACATTGTAAATTCTTCAAGCCAACTAGCACAATGGTGTTCTTAAGCACTACTGAAATTCAAAAATAATCTATCAATTGAAAGTGTCAGTCCTGCAAGAATATATGTATCTGATTTGCCACACTGAATTCAATGGGATGAGTCAGGTGAGTAAATTTAGATCATTGAACAGTCTGCAATTTTGTTTTTACAACAGCTAGTAATAAAATCATGGCTGCAGGGCCCTGGACAGCTGCTGAAAAGCACTTGGCAGCAGTTTAAAACTGATACTACTGCTGAAAGGGCAGCAGGGAATATTACCACTGTCCTCCCACACTTTGAATATAATGCAAAAACAGTGAAATTATTGCTGCTTTCAACTTTTTCCCTATTTTGTTTGGTTTCTTCTACTAGAAGAAAATTCTAGTTTAGAATATTTTGCAAAATCCAACCCCACAAATTAGTGTTTTTTAAAACAATTAGCTACAACACAAGTAAGTAATTACCAGTTACTCAATGCAAATCTCTCAAATATAATACACAGGCACATGAGCTGATGTTCCAGCTTTGTATAATATTCTTTACCCCTATACTGTAACATGGGGTAAGTGATCCCTAACCTGACCTAGCATAACACAGGGCTACTGAATGTCAATCTAAAATTGAAGTTTCCTCTCTTCTATTCAAGTTTTTGCCAGTTTCCTCTACCAGATGATCTTTTGTTGGAAAATCTGTTCACTGCTGATTGCTGGGGAAGGAGTTAACATGCAGATAAGGGCAGTCATGAGTGGATTACACTTCTTTTCAAATAAAGTTGTAAACTGTAATCTGTATTATTGTCTTTTTTCCCCTATCCCCTTTATGCCTGTTCAGCTAGTAAGCATGCTCAACCCTTTGTTAGGCTGTAATTCCATTGCAATTCCTATTCTCCCAGAGCAAGAACTACTCAGAGATGTATTAATATAGCAGTGAACAATGCATAGCAATCTGTTCCCTTGTCACTCTCACTTGCTGTATGTAACAAGTTGGACAGAAACCTATGAGGAAGTCATAAAACTAGAGAGGAAATACTTACCTTTCTGAACTGGGAGTTGTTTTGTGTGGCTACTGTCCTATGTATGAGTTTGTACAGATACTCTGGTCAATGGAAGATTTAACAAAGTAAAGTACTTTAGACATCTGTCAGGGATGGTGTAGGTGGAGCTTGGTCCTGCCTTGAGGGCGGGGGGCTGGACTTGATGACCTCTTGAGGTCCCTTCCAGTCCTATTATTCTATGATTCTATGATTACCAGAATCCTGCAGAGATTTTATACGTCATACAAAAACTTTTAAACTGAACATCTCTCTTCCCAAACAAAATCCCCTTTTACTGTTAATTTCTCATACAAGATGAGAACAGGATAATTCAACTCAACAGGAGAAGAAAAATAGGATTAAAAAAAATCAGTTGGGAGATTAATCCACATGTATGTAAAATTTAAAAAAGTTTGTCTATACTCACAGGTAATTTTAAAGGGAAGTGCTTTGGCATAGAGTGGTGTTTTCTTAAGTAAAAGACATTAAACATGACACACTGGTTAATATTCAATAGGTCTGTGTAAAACTTGCTTCCTGATCAAATGATTTATATTATATGAAGTTATTACAGCCCTGAAATGCAAATAAATCTAAACCCCTTTCAGAGTACACTAGAAAGGATTGACTACTTTGGACCAAGAGCAGTCTATTAAATAATGCACTTTAAAAAGAATAAAGGCTTGATTCTATCAAGTACTAAGCATCCTCATCACTGACACTAATGGCCCAATATAGGGTAGCACTATCGACAAAGAGAAACCCTGAATTACAGGAAAGTTTCAATAATATGCTAAACAATAGTATATACAGGGGTTTCTAATATAGAATAGTGAGTTTTAAAACACCAATTTAACAATATATGGTGCACATTTCAAACTAACAAACTACTGCTGGGTCAATTTAACTCATTACTGTGACTAATCAAGGCAAGCAGATACCTCTCTGCCAACTATTAAACTACAATTAGTACAGGTTACTGCAAAGGAGTACTTTAACTGGAAGATCTGGACTCTTAAGATAAAGGCTTTGTGTATGCTAGAAAGTTTGGCACTGTGTAGATAGCACACAATTATGAAATAAATTATTTCAAAATTGACTTGAAATAAGCTATACAAATTGCATAGTTCAAATTATGTACCTTATTTCGAGCTAAGAGTGTAGTGTGGCTGCACCCTGGGAGAATTGTGTGTCAGCACCTCCATGGAGGAGAGTAGCTAATGTGCTCCCAGCACTATAGTCAGGTTTATACTGGAACTTTGCAGTACTGTAAATTGTTGAGAGAGGTGCTTTTTCACACACCGAGGCAGAAAGTTGCAGTGGAGACTTAGCCAAAGAACCCTGAACATAACCGTACAAAAGAGTAGCAAATAGACTTCTTGAAGACTTACTAGCAAATTACTATTTCAAACTTAAATCAAGAACATCCCACCTTTATCTAGCCTCTATTTAAAAGTGTCTATTAAGGGACTTCATTAGCTAACATCACTGGTAGAAATTGCCGGTTATTCTGCATATGTTTCACAGAGATAAAAGGGATCTTTTCATTATTCATTTTGTTTCAGCCAACCAGATTAATATTCCTTTTATTAAAATAATTAATAGGAATAATTTTTCACATGAAATAACATGAAGCTGCATAGAGACTAAACTGCATTTAATGTTATTATTTATAAAGGTCTTGTTTAGATATGGGGAAACAATTATAGCCTGGATTATTTCTCTTTCAATGTAAAATACAAAATCTCCAGTCATTTTAGCAGAGCTATACACCATTGGTCTAAACAATTCTGAAACTTTATTAATCCTCAGCAATGACATTAATCTTTTTATTCCCCCCCAAAAAAGACAAGAAGTTAGAGACCAAGCAGCCATCCCTGATTCGTATATAAATGTACACAATGTTTAGATATATACACAATCCTAACATTTGATAGGGCCTTCTTTAACAGACTGAGTAGTTTGAGTCCAGTAGCAAAACAACAGGTAGGTTATCAGTTTTGTTCTCATTCTGTGCTTGCTTTTGCACTTCCAATTCCATTTTAAGATGCCACAGGTTGCATCTGATCATTAGGTTGCTCTTCAATAAGCTAAGAATGGCTTCCTTGGCTTTTATTTTGTTTACTTTCTGGATCAAAATCACTACTTTCATATAAAATCTTGTTTCTCATCCCTTCTTGAATAATTCTTTGCTGAATCCTTAGTTTTGCATGATTGTATCTGCAATAGACCCTTAAAGGGAAAAAAAATGAGAATATCAGGTTATAGCTGTTCAACTAGTTATGTATGAACCATAAAATTCTATACATCATTAACTGGACATTTTACAACATTTATGTAAACATTAGCACAGCTGCTAATTCTGTAAGGCATGGGCTCTATAGCCACTTTGTACTAGGAATTCCCACATGTAAGCAGGTACATATAACATTTATCCTAAACATATAATCCATTTCTACTTTTAAAGATCTAAATTTGGTCCTGATCCTGCAAAATAGTTACATACATGTATAGTTTTAAACACGTGACCAGTCCTCGCTGATTTCAATTTGACTACTTTTGAACCTGAAGATAAATACATCTTTCAACAGTTCACAGGATCACTCAGGGTGTAACACTGCACCCTTAGCTCGAAATAAGCTATGCAATTTGAGGTATGCAAGTTGCGTAGCTTATAGTTCATTTCTAAACAGCTTATTTAGTAATTTTGTACTGTCTACACAGTGCCAAATTTTGAAATAAACCACTATGCTGAAACATCCCTTAGTTCTTTGTGGAACAAGGTTGGCAGGGATGTCAGAATAGCGAGCCCAATATATTTAAAAAACCCAGCTTGCTTAGAAGTCTCAGAATAGCTATTACAGGATACTGGAAGTATCCCGAAATAGCACCACAGTGTAGACATACCCTAAGTTACAATTTTAATTGAAAGACTCAACAGTGGGAGGAAAAGGAGACACGAAGAAGGAAAAGAACAAGAGGACTGCACGGTCTTTTGGGCGAATAGCCACACGTAGCACAGTGCTCTTTTAATATTTTATTTACAATTAAATTTAAGTCTGATAGCTTAAGATTAATGAAGATTCTTTCCAAAATAAGTTTTGGGAATGGATTTATAGGAGAGGAAGGAAGCATGGCTAAGAGCCATGAAGACTTCCAAGATCAGTATGAAAGGTCACAGAGGATAGCACAAGAATACATGTATAAATTTGCAGCACTGATCTGTCATAATTCAAAGAACATTTTATATACCAGCATCCTAAGGTTGTCAAAACAAAACCTCCCATTCCAAAGTGAAAAGATCTTCTAACTCTACCTGAAAAAGAAGGGGAAAAAATAGATAATGAAAACTATTGTCCATCTTTTTTTTTTCCTCAACTAGCAAAACAAAAATCAAACATATAAATTAATCTCTCTTTTTGAAGAAATGCAAAAAAACACCACACACACTTACTGGTAGCTAAAAAGTGTCCAAGGCCTGCAACTAGAGAACCCAATGAACCATAGAGTACTGACTCTCGTGCACAGGGAATATTTTGGACATCAAGGATTCCTAGGAGCTTAAAGGACTAGAATTAAAACAAAAACAAAGTATTTAAAAATACATTAGAGTTGCATTCTCCATCCCTCTTTCTGATTTTTGGACAAAAAAGTGGTCTATAAATTCAGTCATTAGTACAACGTAGTTAATTTGCTTTTGGCTTTATTTTAAATATCCCATGAGACTCATTTCCAGCTATATTTGTTTGCATAAATAATGCACTGTCAAATATGAGGTTACAAAAGTAGACAGAGCCAAATTCATCCCAAATCTATCCAGTTATCTATCCCTGACATTCAGTAGCAGTCAGTGGAATTTGTCCCACTTTGTAATTCAATTATATGAAGTAAATGCATGTTACCAGTAATTTTCATTCATTATAAGCATTCATCAATTCCATCTAAAACCATACTGGGACTAATTCAGTGATTATACATTTGCTAACGAGTTCTACTTTCATTTAAGTTCTAGATAAATAAATGTACATATAGAGCCTCCAATCTCAGCAGTACCACAAGACATACTTGATTCCCTTTTTGTGTTTGTATGCATGAAAGGGCACAAGCACACATACAAACAAACTCGTATCTTTCAGATTTTCAGAGCTGTCTCCCATCACAACTAAAATGTGTTCAGAATGAAAAAGTATTTTTTGAGATTAAGACTTACAACGGCACAATTCTGAAATGTTTGTGTCCTGCCTTTCCAACAAAGTCACATTACCCCACAAAATTTGAGACATAGGTAGATGCTGGACACTGGCTAAATCAAGAGTAAGTATTCATGGGGGGGGATTATTTTTTTTAACCATTATTCAAAAGCTAGACATGAACATTTCAATAAAACACCGGTGGAAAAAACATGGTGAATATTCTTGTCATGCTCAACCCCCACCCCCAGGCTAATTTTCATCTTACCCTTAAATAACTTAGTAAAAGATGTGAGATGGTTGTGGCAGTATTGGAAACAGAACCCCAATTTATAAGTTTCTCGATTAATTGACCTAGGTCTACGTACCAGGCCATACAGGCTCACACAAACTGCTTTATATCTCTTTACTTGGCCAACCACAAAAATAAGGATATTATTTATCCACTTTATGAAGTTATTTGAGATGTACAAATTTAAAATCTGTTTTTCTGAGGCATTATCTTAAGCACTGAAATTTTGGATGACTTAGCAAGGAGGGCTTTAAGAACTTGTAGATTAAGCATTATATGTTTAGTCAGCAGGCCAGGATTCTAAACCTGAACCTGACTAATTTATTGAATTGTTTAAAGCATATTTTATCTGCATCTGTCGTGTAGTTCATATATAGCACAACATACCGTGACTAAATTATAGAGAGAGCATGTATATCTTTATCAGGCAGGCATTGCAGGAGACTGGGCAGCACTACTCAGAATACTTTAACAGAATAATTTGAAGTTATAAAAATCTATACACCTTCATTTATACTCACAAAAATAGTAGGTCTTCCACAAGACCTCTCCCCCCCCCATTTAAAACATATGTTCTAAAAGAAGTGCAGAATTTCAAGAGCACAATTATCTTTACTCTGATCAGAAATACAATGATAATTGACAAAGGAATTAAACACAATCTTTTATTGGGGAAAAAAGGTTATATACCCTAGGATTACTAAGGGAATTGAGCACCTATTACCCTTGGATCCCTTTGAAAATTCGAACAACAAACATTATTGAATACTGATCAGCCTCATATGCTGGTCCATAATTAGCAATAACATCATCAAAAGAAAAAATGTTTATTATTTTAGATTTATAAAAGAATCCACACACATTTCTAGGTCATCTGCACTGAAAATAGTTAACGGATAGTATTTCTTACTTAATAGTATTTTTCCAAAAAAATCTATTTAAATGCTAATGTGTGTGTGTATATATATATATATATATATCAAAAGGCCTAAAAAATTCATGGTTGTAAAGGTTATTGTTGTGTTGAAATCTACATTTCTTGCTTATAAGAATGTCCTTGTCCATTATGAAGGCACATTTCTGTATTTATTAATTCGGTTGCTTTTAAATCCTTATATATTGTATATGTTATGATCAATGGTTACTGTCACCCAGTATCTTTAATTTGTTTTTCATTAGCAATGGTACCGTTCTTGGACCATTGGTGACACTCCATTGTAGCTTTCCTCTCTCAATCACCCTCCTAACTCCTGACCACTAGCCATCTTTCTAGCCTCAGGTGCAGCCAAGCCCCCTTTGATAGGGCGGACTGGACTCACCTACTCTGATCCTGGAGACCTGCGCCTAGACTAACCATAGAAACCAGTTACCCTGTGACAAGGTGGTACAAAAGATGCTATACAGGTTGAACATCTCTAGTCCGGCAACATCTGTGATCTGCCATGATTTTATGTCCCCTTACCAAGAATGTGGCCAAGTTTCCTGCGGTCCCAGAAAGTTTGTTTACGGCCATCAGTCCTGGCTCTGTTCTGTGCTATTATTTAGCTCTAATCTGCCCCTAAACGTTTTTAAGAACCCAGTAAGCAGTAGAGAAGCATCAGTAATGCTGCTAGACAATATTGATCTCCTGTGGTTTGACAAATTCTCTGGCTCAGCACCAGTCAGGTACTATTATATTACTTGTGAGAGACTTAATTTACATTCTTATGAATCCTTATGACTAGTAGTAGCCTGTAAATCTATGAGATTAGAATTTGTACACACGTTTAGAAGCCCTATCAAAATCTTTTTGCAGAAAGATTAAATACATGAATGTAAATTGATTTAGGACCAAATCCATTCAACAACTGAGATGAGTAAGGGCCAAGAGTTATGTATTCTCAGTAGGAATATTTTCAGCAGCTTATGTGGAAAAAGTCATTTGAGCTGCTGTTTGAAAAGAAGGCATCCTGTATGTACTGCATGATGCATACCTCTAAAATAGTATTTCAACTGTTGTTATACTGAAAAATTGTTTACAACTCCAAACAATACCAGAAAGTATGGATATTATGAAAGGTGATCTATTTGTCAAAAAAGTTATGAAGAGACAAGCCCATACGTAATGTTTACATGACAGAATGCTCCATGGCAAAATCTTGTTTCATTATTCATAAACTTCCCTAGTTATGTTTAGTATCTTACTCCACAAACAGTTCCACTAAAATCAGTAGGCCTACTAAGAGAACAGTATTATATGAAGTACTGAACATCTCAAGTTTCCACTGATGTTAAGGGGAGCTGGAAGAAGGGTGGATTTGATTTAAATCATGATTTAAGTCATTAGTTAGGAAGACTATTTAACCATGGTTTTCTACATACAAGTGCATTCTTGGTGGTTGTTATAACCTTAATACATATTGTTCACAACTCAGAGAGGTCAGTTTCATTTGTAGAAGTACACACTATACGTTTTAAACAGTAATTTTTTTGAAAACTTTTCAGATTAGTTTTACAGCTATATTTGAATATTAATGATTGTTTGGTTATTTCATTTACAGAAGGTAACTGAAGAAGATATTTATGAAGTCTTTGGGAGATGAACTATCTCCAATTCAACAGGCTAATCATTAATGTTTGGTGGATTTTCTTACCATGCTGTATTAAGAGGAGACCATCACCAGACAGACATTTAAATTGTTTTATTTAACTAAATATGTAATATTCCAGTATGCATTCTGGATTTTTTCTTCAACAAACATAATTTAACAAAACACGCATATCAATTTGTGAATTTAGTTAAACATTCAAGTTTTTTTAAAAAAATCGGGTTCATTTTTTAAAATAGTTAACTAAAACAGTTAAATGCAATTAAAAAATTATACAAAAATTAAATAGACTGTCAGCCAGATCACAAGAAACTTAAAATATTGGCTTCTGCAGCTAACTCAGTCTTCACCTTTGTTTTCCTGTTTGTTCGTAGTTCGGGGAGAGGGAAGGGGCACGCACAAACAAGTTTTCCTGCTTTTTCAGGTCCCAAGTGATTTTTCAATTTGGATGAAGTAATCCAAAGGAAGAAAATATTCTTTCTACACCAGAAGAAGCAGGTACTGCTGTTAAGTGAAATTATCACTTCAACAGTTTCTGAATTCAAGTGCTTAAGTGACTTATACCAGGTCACTGGTATGACTTTCTTTAAAACATCAGCTAAAGTATTTCTTGAATGGTTCATTCTCAGATCTAAAGATTATTATAGTTGGGCATTATGGAAAGATGATTGCTGGATGCCCATGTCATAGCCAACTCCACTTCTCCAGCAGTTAAGGTTTGATCCTGGTACCTAGTATTGAGAATATTTGCAAGAAAGTGAGCTGGAGATAGTGCTTGACCCATTCATTTTTTTAATACTTGTAATTTAACAGTCATTGCATATTTTTCTTTTTAAGATCTCACTCAGTTCCTTCCAAATTTCAACAGCATCAGCAATAAAATAGCTATTTCCCTGCATTTTGCTCAAGGCAACAGAAATAAGCTTCAGGGTACTCAGCATGTGTTCAACATTGCTCTTAAGCTCAATATTGAGAACTTTGTGACAGTGTCATCTGTTTTTTCATGGATTTGTTCACAAACTGTCATCAGATTAGGCCAGTTCTTGATATAGTGCTCAAAACAATCCACTAATTAGTTCTATCACACCTTGTGAGAGAGTTCACTTGGTTCCTCCCACTTTTTTTAGAGCAGCTGCTGCAAAATGGTTGTTATGGAAGTATTTTGCCATTTCAACATTAGCCTTTATTTCGGGAACACTGAATCCTTTGGCTAAGAGGTGCATCAAATAAGCACTGCAATCACATTATTAGCTTGGGACTCTCCTCACTCTTCTAGATGTCTTCTCATATTGGATACATTTGCAGCATTGTCTGTGACCAAGCTGTGTATTAGGCATTTTAATTTTTTTTAACCCCACTGTCTGTTACAGCCTTTACTGCTACATCTTGTGACCATTCCGCAGTGTGTACATTTCCTGATGTATCAATTGTTTCTATGGAAGACATTCCCTTCTCACGCAAGCACATACAACAGGATCATTGTGGACATTCCTCCTCCC